GGAAGCACTACTTTAAATAAAACTGCCATTATAGAACTGTGCTGTTATACTAGCACCTCAGTAGCAAAGACATTCTACACATACTAGCCTTGTGATATGTTTAAGAAAAAACTATGAAGATCGAATGTGCTCATCTCTCTCCCATGAATCAAAGAGCTAGGGAGGTTGCACACATAGCCATGTCTTACAATGTAAAAAGTTTGTTGTTGTTAGTCATGAAGTCGTGTCCGACCCATAGCGACCCCATGGACAACATTCCTCCAGGCCTTCCTGTCCTCCACCATCCCCTAGAGTCCACCCAAGCTCACACCAACTGCTTCAGTGACTCCATCCAGCCACCTCATCCTCTGCTGTCCCCTCCTTCTTTTGCCATCTGTTGTTCCCAGCATTAGGCTCTTCTCCAGGGAGTCCTTCCTTCTCATTAGGTGGCCAAAGTATCTGAGTTTCATCTTCACTATCTGGCCTTCTAAAGAGTAGTCAGGGTTGCTCTCCTCTAGCACTGACCGGTCTGATCGCCTTGCGGTCCAAGGGACTCGCAGGAGTCTCCTCCAGCACCACAATTCAAAGGCCTCAATCCTTCGGTCCTCTGCCTTCCTTATGGTCCAGCTTTCACAGCCATACATTGCAACTGGGAAAACCGTAGCCTTGACTAGACACACTTTTGTTGGCAGGGTGATGTCTCTGCTTTTTGGTGTTTAAAAGCAAGCGTGATGAGGGAGGAAAGATAATAGACAATCTTTCAAAACCAAGTCCTGCATTATACTTTCAGGGAAAGTGGATCTAGGCAAAGTGGATCTTGCCTTTATTACTTTTCATTTAAACTTGTAAAGCCAAAACCAACTAGAGGATCAGAACTTGCTAGTTCTGCCCTAGAGAAATCTTAATCAGCATGTTTGTTTGTATTTGGTAAACAAAACTAAAAACAATACCCCATGTTAATTTTTTGTTCCAGTACACTACAAGAATTTGACCTAAAATATTTGCAAGAGAAAAAATAGAGGTATACTTTATGATTTATATGTTACATTAAACATAAATTCTTAAAAGAATACTTGTAAAACTGTAAAGGCAATAGCATGTATTTCTGTTGTATTGTTTAATTTTTAAAGGAAAAACAAAGGTATTGAAAATTGTTGCCACACTAATTCCAGCAGTCCAAAGAAATATGCATTTCAACAATTTGACTTTCCATGAAGGTTGTTGAAGGGCCATTGGTTTCAACTCTCCCTATTTGTGAGTTCTGCTTAACAAACTCAAAATTTCACTAACATAATGTATTCATTCACATATTTGCTAAAGTACAGTACACATTCCCCATTAAAATTTGCTTCATGTTTCCAACCAAATATTTGGTGGGTTACTTCAAACTGATTTGCAATTAAGTCACTTTATAACATCGGGATACACACAATTCTCCAGTTTTTATTATTTCTGAATATACCCTTGCCCAAATTGCAGCTCTTATTTTTAAACTGCCTCCTGTACTCTACTGAACTCTCAGACCACTGGCTCTTCCTTTTTCAAGATACACATAGGACAAAAGAAAGCCTGCCTTCCTTCTGTTCAATACCTACTCTGAGTCTATAAATAGGCCAGTCAAATAGGCCATTTCTGTCCATCCCATTTCTGTAAGGCACTAGGGCAAAATGGTCAGTTGCTGTCACAGGTTTCACCACCATCACTATATCCATTAAAGGTCTACAATGTAAACTAGATTAAGAAAGCAAGCATAAAACAAGCTTCTGCACATTGTAGGGGAAATATGCTTTGAATCATACCGAGTTTCTGCTGAATGGCTTCTAATATGCTATCTGAGTCTTGCAGCATGCAAGGTGTGGTGGTGCAGATCTGAATATGGTATTTTCCAACAGGTTTGCGATTGAACATAGTATAAAATGTTGCTACTTCATAAACTCTCATGGGAGGCATCTGCAGAACCTCAGCAACCTATAACAATGAGAAAAGTTAACTATTCTTTAAAAAATGAGCAGTTTCAACTAATACCTACAGTTTTGAAAACAATTTTAATTCCAACTATAGATTGAAGCCTTGTATTTCTGAAGTCACCGGATTTTCCAGGGAATGTAATAATTATTCAAGTCTGGCTAAACTGCAGTAACTTGCTAATACAATTCCTTTCCAGACTTTGTGTTTCCCCAACAGTGTGTGATGATTTCCAAGGTTTCATTCCATGAACTGGTAGCATTTTAAAGGATATCTTGGCAAGGGTAGATTTAGAAAATGTTTAAATTATTTCAGATGAAGGGAGCAATGCTATGGACCCTTGACAACATTGGAAGGGCCACAAGATGTACTGGATCCCCAATCTGATGTTGGAGACTGCACACTGACCTTGGAGAGTGGCATTAGAGCTCTGTCCCCTGCCCCTCTCATGGGAGAAAAGCTGTTACTGGCTGCTCTCCAAGATCAGAAACCTGACCTTGCAGAAAAGACAGCTTTAGTGGGAGGGGAGGGGAAAGGCAAGGATGTGAGTTGTGGCTGATCCAGCTTTGTTTCCCCCTCCAGCGTGCCCCGCCTAGAACATCAAGTGAAGAAGGCACAATGGGAGGACAGGGAAGTAAAGGCTGCCTCCACCATTCCTCCCATCCTGCATAGTTTGTCAAGTAAGCCTCTGAATTCAGAGGTCTACCTATGATAATCGAAAGTAGAATCCATACGATCATGCCCTACGAAACCCACCACATTTTTAAAAATGCAATTTAAATGTCTTTTCCCCCCTATTCCTTAGGGTAGTGCTGAGTGTACTACCACAGGCTTGTATTAGGATATTGGCAAAACAGTAGGGAGCACTCAGTGTACTTTTATTTAGACTCAGAACCCTGAATTAAAGATTACACAACTTACTGAAATATTCAGAATATAGAAACTTTATGGTCATTAAAATAGTAAGGTTAAAAAACTTAGTCACACTATTGCCTGTCTCACATTATACCAAATTTAAATTCTGCCAAAACTTGAAGGTGAATATTTTAATACCAGTAAAATAACTTCAATAAGAAAAATATTCCAAGAAAAATCGTGAAATACCTTATTCATAGCTGATATAGGTAGCCACCCATTCTGTCTCTGGGCTAGATCCAGGACTGGAATCACTGCTGCAGATCGGTGTCCCTCTGGGTAGTTGTTTATTATTGCCTCTATCCTCTGTCAAAAGGGAAAAAAGTATTATAACAGTCAACAATTTAAATTTATAGGACTACAGCTTGTCATCCATTATGTCATACCTTATAGTTTTCCGGTGTAAAATCAAATGGGGTACTTGGGTTGTTTTCAGGAGTATCTCTGTGCTGTATGAAAAAAATAAATAAAATGAATCTGTTACATATTTTTCAACTTGTACCTATGATGTAGGAACAACAGTCCTAGTATTCAGAACAGGTTATCTAAATCAGTATTCAGATTTCATACATGCAAGTATATCTTCTCATTCATGTATGAAACCTGCACTTGCAAAGTTACTTTTCTCAACTGTTACAGTAAACCAAGTACCTGTTATTTTCCTGTGATCAAATATTCCATAAAACGAAGGATGCCACTAAATTTCATTATGCTGACATTTATCAGCAAGACTGTTTGCCCCCTAGTCTAGCAGGATAGTAAAAGTTTTTGCTACTGAGCACCTGCATTTATTTATCTCTCAACTGCAAACATACCTAAACAAACAAACCAAAAAACCCACAGTAATTGAACAATTTATTGCCATTTCAATGTCACCTTTAGTAGGCTGACCCAAATGTTCCAGGATAAAAGCCAACAATTCTTCATCAAAGTGTTTACTTTTATAGAAACTTTGTCTAACATTGCTAAGCTCGCTCGCTCGCGCGCTCTGTCTCTCTCTCTCTCTCTCTCTATATATATAATACATGCATGCATGCATGCTGAGTTATTTATAAAGCAACTGCAACACTTTTATCTTCCTGCTGCCTTAACATACAACATAAACAGCTCCTGTCCCAGTCATTTCTCACTTGGACTAAAGCAAAATTCACCTTTCTAATTCTATCTTGTCTCAGCTTTGTCCTCTCAGCTCCCTCCAGCACTTTGCTTGCAAAACAATTCTCTGATTGTCAGACATCACATGACGTCTCCTCCCTTCCTAGATCCAGCAGAAGTTTCTTGGCCTTACCTTCAAAGCCCCCATAGCATTGCCCTCCTGTACTCTCCATTGTATGTACTTCCTTTGATTCTTGGGTTTGTTCCACTATTCTCTGTCAGAAAATATTCTGTGTCCTTGAGGCACATGTTACCCCTTTTATTTATTTATTTATTTTAAATCACACCCTTTACAGTGTCTCAGGGCCGCAATAACATAAATAAGACACAGCATTTGCTTGGTACTGCCTTCCAAACCAGCCATGTGATGTCCACTTCCCTTCAAATCCATCTCAAAACATGCCTTTTCTATGAAAAAGTATTGAAGTAACAAAATAAGGATTACATTGTATATTTTTCAATCCCCCCCAATTTTCTTTTTTCTAGAAAGAACATAGTGCCCCCCCTTGGCCAGGGCTTCACCATTTCCAGAAATATTAACAACTCTACCTTCTTCTAATTATGTATTTCATCTTCTGTCACTGGTTGGTCGGTATCTCAAGATGATGGGATGATGCCTTATGTCAGACCACTGGTTCATCTAGCTTAGTATTCTCCTTCATGGAGGAGAAGGCTATCAAGGGCTTCTAGTCCTGATGGTTATATATTACTTCCTGAACAGAGGCATTATACCTGTGTATAGCAGTTGTTGAGGAACTTGGGCAGAATGGTGCTGTTAACACTCATGTCCTACTTGTGGATTCCCATGGGCAGCTAATTAGTCCATGAGGCAATGAGGATTATCTGTATATGCCTGAGGAATTCTAGGAAGCGAGACAAGGTCACCGCAAGCAGCAGTGAAGTCAGACATCAATTGAGCAGCTCAAGACTGCACCCTAGCAGTATGCAAGGATCCATAAATCTACATTTTTCTCCTTATTCTATAGCTTGCAGTGTACGGAAAGGATTCTCCAGTGGACTCATCAGGCTGAGCTATCTACCTACAGCTTTATTAAACATGTGACTGAAAAACTGCCAAAGCTCAGAAAGCCTACAGGTACCTATCCCTTTTTTCTAATCCACATAGGAACAAATCATACCACCTAATGGCACTACAAAGAAAGCACATCAGATTTTGAAGCTTTGGGAAGGAAATGCAAGAATTTAGGGCACTAGTTAGCTTTCTTGGAAGAGGAATAGAAAGTGAAAGTAAAACTGCAGGTGAATGACTGGCTATGAATATGGTGCCAACATGAAAGATTTAGATTCTGGAACCACAGACTATGCTACTTGGAAGACGGACTGCTTTCAAGCAATGGATTTCTGCTCACAAAAGAGCTGAAAAGAAATGTATTTGGTCACAGCATGAACAATTTCATCGGGAAGGCTTTAAACTGAATCCTACTGAACTACTGAATCCTACTGAACTTGAAGGCAACAGTAGATGAAGGCTTATGAACCATGACAGTGAGAAGAACTCTAGTAGTACCCCAAATAGTCTTTTCAATACTATAGGAAAGATGCCAGACCATAAAACACATGAGCTTCAGTATATTAGCTACACTAATACCCAGAGTATGGAAAGCCAACATTTTAAATGTGAACTCTTAACACATGAAGGCAAATGTGACCTGATACATTTTATTGAAACTTGGTGCAATAGCTCCCATGACTGGAATATTGCAATTAAAGGGTATAATTTGTTCAAAAAGAGCAAAAGAAACAGGAAAGCCGATGGACTTGTATTTATGTATGTGTCTTATTTTGGCCCCAAGGCAGAAAATCCTACAAGCATCTCTTCTCTCTGTAGGCAGTGAAAATATCATACTAATAAACAATGAATAATTTGCTGCTTTTTCATGTCATCTCAAATCAATTGTCTCTAGCTCTAACATACACATATGCACATGTTTTTAAACAGCACTGTCTCCTAAGGACACTCTTATTTTTAAAAGGATTATGGACAGGAAAGAGGGCACTTGATTTGGTGGTGGGTGGGGAGCTTAGGCAGAAAGATTCAAGGAGGGGCAACAGGAGAGGAAATACATGTGGGAAAAAGCCAGCTAGTCCAATGAATTGGAGATCATTTGGGCTGCTGTACCTTTATTTCAGCAAATTCCATTTTTCTGTAGTTACACAAAAAGCCACATTTTTGCAAAGTGACTTTCTGTACAGTTGACTTCTGTCCATGAAATCCTTTTATGCCACAGTAAATGAGTTTTCAAAGGGCCACAATACACTTTTGAGCACAAAGAAGAAAGAAGCACCGATCCTCTTTCCAAATCTATTCACCTTTTTCTAATGCAAATTCCTGATGCCAAGGAGGACCACGCACCCATCAGTGTTTGGTATGGTACTCTCCAGAAAGCTGAGTCAAGAAGTTCCAAAAACACTCAGGCCAGCCAACATGCTATACATATATTGCCTTGCTATACATATATTCCTGCTCCAAATTCAGAAACTTGCTGATTATTCACACCTTTTTTTAACATGCAAACCTACTTGTGGTTTCTTCAAAGGTAAGGGGCCTGTGCCCCACTGAAGCAGCAGATGAGGGAAGCTTCTGAGACACTATTTGATATATAAACAGCCAATGCATTTGCCTTTCCTCTTGACAGGGCTTTGCTCCCCACAATGGCCCAAGATACATGTGGAGTAGCCCAGTAGCAGTTGGCTGAGCAGGTCTCTGCAGAGTCAAGCAGACTCCAACAGTGACAGTGTGCTGTTAGGCAATTGTGGGCTCTGGACTTAATGGAAATAATGAAACTGTCAAAGGACAGATGGTGATCTCCCCTCTAGTTCAAAAAACTGATGCCAGTATGTTATGCTCCGTTTTAATTTGCTACAGGAGTGAATTCTAAGGTCTCAGCAAGGTTGCTGAGTTCAGTGGAAAGAAACAGGTTTATATTAAGTTAGATGATGGCAACTGGAACAGCTCCGAAGATCTAGGGAACAGCACAAAAGCTCTGGGGCCTGTCCCTAGGTGAGGCTTCTTTCTAATACCACCCATACTTTCAGATCATGGCAAGCTGAACAGATCTGTCTTGTACAATCCATAAAGCAACAACGGAGACCATCCAAGTTACCATATGGCAGGGATGACCAAACAGGCTTGTGAACCATTTGCTGCTCTTTGAGTTTATTTTGCAGCTCACAAAGGGCTCAGAGCCCCCCAACCCTTCTACACTCCCAGTCCAGATTCCAGCAATGGCACAGTTGGGCTGGCGACCTCACCAAAGCTCGCCCCAGCTCCTGCTGACAAGTACAAAGGTGCTTTAATGATTCTACCTCCACTGCTGATCCAAGCAGCAAATCCAGTGGTGCTATTGGAGGCGCAGGCAGCAGTGGCTATTCTGGCAAAGCCAAGGATGCAACAGATCCAGGCCAAACATGAGCTCTTCCTTCAGACCTTTAAAAGTGGGCATGGGGTAATTGGGTGGAAGGGAAGAGGGACTGAAAGTAACAACCTCCTGTGCACCATCTGCTCCTTCACTGGGGGAAGGGCTGCAGCTGAGGAGGCTGCTGCTGAAGATGCCAAGGGAATGCTACTGCCTCCAACAGAACCAGTGGATTTGCCACCTTGAGCAATGGCAGAGGTAGAACCACCAAAGCGCCTTTGTGCTTGTTAGCAGAAGCAGTGCAGGGCATGCTGGGGCAAGCTTTCATGAGGCAGTTGGCTCTATTCACACTCTTCCTGAGGCAGATGGTGCTCAGGAAGAGAGTGGGTTGGGCTAGCAGCCTCATGAGAGATCACCCTAGCATGCTTCTCCCATTCCTGCTCACTTTAACAGCCAACTTTGAAAGAAGTATCTTCCTGAATATGGAGAGTGGGGGGACCCGTCGCAGCTCCAAAGATAATTTGTGTTGTTTATGTGACAGCCCCTGAAGATGGCTATCCTACTGCAGCTTGTCCCTTCTGCAGCTCCTTCAAAGGTCCCTGACAGAATTCTAACTTGAAGGCCATGTCCTAACAAAGAATTCTCAGCACTTCTCACTAAACTGTAATTGCCAGGATTCTGTCTGTGACAACAGTTGAAAAAACAAAAACAAAAAACCAACCCTGCTATTTTTGATTACTATGACAAAAAACAATTTGTAATATTACTGTGTGAAAGACAGGGTGTCTAACCAAGGAATCATTAGTAAAATAAATTTCTCAACTTTTAGCTACACTTGCTTTATTCAAACAGATTACTTACCACAAACAAAGCTCCCCCACCACCATTTTGTGCAACTGTTGCATGAAGGCAGCGGATCTGTGCCACCTACAAATCACATTTTATAGAAGATTAACATTTTGTTTTTCAAGTTACATCTACCGAGTTAGATCTAAACTTAAGTCATTCTGAGAGCAGCCCCATTCAAATCAACAGGATTTAAATTAATCCTGATTTGAACAGGTCAGCTTCAAGGATGATGACACCTGGGGCCCAACATTATGTAACATAATAAAGCCAAATGCAAAGTAAATCTGCTCAGGGGCATGAATTAACAGCATGACATAATTTCATTTCTCACAGTAGCTAATCAGATGCCTCTAAGATTACACAGAGAGCATGAAGATAACACACTTGCTTGTACTCAGCACTCCCTGATCAAAGACTAAAATATCTTTAGACTTGGGAGGTTCTGTGCAGTTTTTGTGGCCAATTACAGTAGTCACAGTAGACTCATCTTCTGTGAATCTATCTCAAACTATCTGAACAGCCTTCTCAGGGCCAAGACTAGACATGACACCAGCAGATGCACACGTTTAAATCTGATCTGCCATTCAGTCCATTGAAGCAGGGGCCCAGAATGAAGCCACAATAGTGTTGCAATCCAGGCTTTCGACAATTCATGGTTTTTTTCCCCCCAGCCCAGGGGGCGGGGGGGGGGGAGAAGCAGTTCAGATGAGCATCCAGGCTGCACTTCTAATTCTCTTCCCACTGCATTATATATACTTTGTAGGATCCGAGCTTAGTCTGCTGCCTAGATATGTAAGTTAAACCTCAAGGTCTATAAACGTAAATATATACAGTATCATCCTGACAGTCCTAATGTACGGAAAAAAGATTTCAAGATGGGGAATTTTCAGATGATGTGGGGGAATTAACTCTTTCGCACCCACTTCTGGCCCTCCTCGACCAAGCCACCACTCCATCGTACATTTGCTTTAAACATCCAAGAAAGCCGGTGAGCCTCCGACATATAAGCCTTTCCAAAGTGTATAGCAGAAAAGCCAGTTCTCGGCATTCACACTATCCACTTGTTTATCCCACCCTGCCGCCACCTCTATTTCTCCTCCACCGAGGGTTGACAAACACACCGACGGAAGTTCGCAAGCACCGCCCCTTCCCCTCTGGCAAGGAAACAGAAGCGGGCGGCGGTGTCATCCCCGCCGCGCCCTTGGTCTGTATTGCCGTCCACAGATACCGCCAGGGACGCCCGCGGCATTTCCCCGGCTCCCTCCTTACCGAACGTGCAAAGACGGCCCGAAAAGGAGCGGACAGCAACATGGCAGCGCCCGGCCCGGCCCACTACTGCCGCCGCCTCATAAACTCCTCGCTCTGTCCCTTTCCAAGAGGCAGCAACAAGCCTGCGCGCTCAGTGACGAGTGCGCAGCCGCAGTAAGAAGGTCACGAAGAAGATAGTGTGCGCATGCGCGCGCGCGCGCGCGCTCTTCAGACCGGACGAGGGGCGCGCGTCCCTGAGAGGCGGTGTCTCCGATTTTTTTTTTTTTTTTTTTGGTGTATGGGTTAAGGTGTCCTGTTATTTGTGTACAGGGAAAGGCTGTGCTGTTGAGGGTAAAATGATGAGCCGTGACCTTCGAAAACCTACAGTTTGTGCTCTTGTCCAGTATAGTGGGAAGTCTTGATGCACAATAGATGGCTTTCTGTTATTTCTTTCTGTTGGAACAAAATAGTAGCGCACCAGCAACACACAAACATGCACGCAAGAAGCAATCCTATGCATGTTCAGACAGGGAAAAAGTCCTACAAAACTTTCAGGGTAAACAGATTGTGACTGTTGGAACAATTTGGATAAATCCTGTCTGAAAGGCATTACTCCTGTGTGCCTTTGCATTGTGGGATCAAATCCTGTCTTCCTTCTCAAAACCAAGCTGTCACTGTTTAAAATGCCATTCCTTTTCATGCTATGCACCTTCCACCTATGCCTACGAGCATGTTTAGTGGAAAGGGCCTTCCCACCCCGCTTCACTGACCCATTCAATAAATAGCAGGCAGCCTCACAGCTGTTCTCCTGAGCTTTCTGGCTATTCTGCTCCATTGGAGGACAACGCAGTACATGCAAGACAGCCAGTCTTGGACCTTCTAAATTAGCATGCTGCCTCAGATGTTATGGAAGATGTTATTCCATCATCTATGCCAGTTCAGGCAGCTTCTGTATGTGAACTGGGGAGGGTCATACAGCTGTTTTCCTTGGGCAAAATTATGACGTGTCCCACCTAGGCACACAACATCTGGCACCCTGTACTGGTGCTGTAGCAAAGATCCATCTTACTGCACAAAGTAAGATACTAGAGATGGGTTGTCACAATGCCATGTATAAGGATTTATTTGGGATGATGGCGCATGAAGTAGTGTGTGCCAGTATAACCAGCTGTTAACAATAGAAGCTGTTTCCCAGTGTTTATGTTCAATTTCCTTCCTGCAATTGAAACCCATTGCTTCTTCCAACAACTCAATATAGATATATAGACATAGCCTTATGATTTGGCTCTTTAGCCTACATCAGCAGAATGTCGCTGGAAAGCTCTTGGTGTGGCATATACTTTTGCTTTTTAGTTTAGTAATGGTTGCCCCCACAGAGCTCACAGTGTAGACTGAATGGTTTCCTTCTTGCCCTA